GGACAATTGAAACCTAACCGTACTTTTGTCTAGCACAAGAAATGATCACAGTTGTCTCGTATTGAAATGTCCCACCAAATACGCATCCTACGCTTCTTTCAAAGGCAGACTTCGCAATGAGCCAGTGGAAAGCCCTAGTTGACTTGCTTGTGGAGAAAAAACGAAAGGAAACCGTCGAAACGCTCTAAAAAGGCCCTATGTGTGCCAAGCGAGAGGAAGAGAATCGATTTGGGTACCGGAAGAGAGGTTAGAGAAAGCGGAGAGATCATGCAGGAGAACACAGGTAAGTCATCTATTCACTTGGGCGGAGTCACTTGAGCAGCCTTGCGCCCTAGCGCTTCTACCTTATCACTTTCTCACAAGGAACTTATACACTGTTGCTCGTTGCAGTACACACTAGTACCTCTCCACAAGATGAGCAAAGACAGTTATACCTTATCGGGGCTATGCCTTCGAAAGAAGTACACAGCTATGCCATCCCATTGACCTGGATAGGGAGTGCACAGTCCAGTAAGTCAAATAGAAATGGTGCGGGTTGAAGGAAGAGCTGCGTTAAGCGTGCCGTGGCAGGCCGAGAGAATTAGTATTCGAGTGGGCACGTTGAAAGTAAGCAGTGTAATTGAGGGTGGGAAACTCTTCCGTGATCATTATTATTCTGGAGTATTTGTCATCATAGAACTCTGAGAAAAAGTCTCTGGTATCAGGCCTACTGCCACATCGTCGGAGAGTAAACATCTGGAACTGAAACCCGCAATAATAATTTGTTTTTTGGTTCTATGAAAAGTTCGTTCAATTAGTGGAATGGAAACATAGGCGAACAGATGATTCGCAACATCTGGAATAGCTCTGTCTTCTTCTAGGACCGCGTTTTCTTAGGGTTCTGCAAAATGCACTGTGTTCTCCGTTTGCTTGCAAGGTGGGTGTGACGTCCACAAACCGCCTGAAGGAAGGGACCCCATTCCGTCTGTAGTTAAGGCGGGGCACCCCATTGTTTAATATTCCATAGCTACTTCCTTGATGGTAGTTATAGAATATTTAAAGGCGCAGTTCGCGACAGCAAATTGTGGGAAACGGAACTCAAATAGGCACAAAAAACTGCTATTTAATCATAATTAGCCGGAAAAAGCAGCAGTAAAAAGCAATTGCCGAAGAGTGTTTATAGATAAAGATAACATAGTGGCTACTAGCTAGTAGCTAGCAGCCGGTGAGGGTCGGCATGGGCCTAAGGGGTGTCCATGGGCCTAATTAGCCAGCTTCTAGCGGCCCCTGTAGGGCTTGCCTTTTTTCACATTTTGAAGTTAGCGCAGCCTCAAAAATGCCTCCGGGTCAGTGTCCGACACCATTTGAGGGTCATAGCCGTATTGTTACGCCCGGAATGCTGCCTTTAAGACAAGGTCCCGATTCATTACCATTACATTTAGTGGTCAGAGAGTTTGCATAAAATGACGAGGTGTTGAGCAATCGATGTGAAGAAAAAAGCACAAAAAAATGTGCCGACTGATCTAAATAAAAACCCATTCCGATCCCAGTTTGTACGTGCCCAATTAACTCCATCTTCAACATTACGTCTTCATCCGCACAGCTGATTCCCCGATAAGAACTCTACGACCGTACAAGTGACGATTTTCATGCTTTTTCGTCCTGCAGCTTCGTTTTTCACTGAAAGGCGGGCCTTGAAGGCGGAGTCTGGAGGCGGAGTCACTGGAAAAAAGGAGGCGTCACTGAACCTATATTGCGCTATAGCGCCCCTCCCTTACAATTTTTTGCCGCGAAACCGGTACAAGGTTGTTCGTCGCGACCACACTACCCTCCGACGCCATATTTTCGATTTTATTCCTGATCGCGGACCGGGCCTTAAAACAGTGGAGTTAGTGGTAGGCTGAGAACTCATCTCGTTCAACGATTCTTGACCAAGGCCAAGGTACGACAGGGTTCGATCGTTCTTGATAGCTGAAGAATGGCGCTGTATTTACCCAGATGAAGAACCTTCGAAATTGCCAGTTTCCTCTCTTTCCAACTGCACAATATACTCCCCCACTCGGCTAAGGGGGCAGTTCCACGCTCCGTCTCCCGCTGTACGGGTGCTGAGAAAAGGTCTGGGTGGGGGCACACAACCACCTTGACCTCAAGTTGTGTTGAGGAGAAATTTGTGTCGACCTGTTCTTGATTTCACTCCTTATAATAGCCTTTTGATGAGTCGCGACAGATTCCAGTCCATTAGTCTTCCCAGATTCCACTTCAGGTTGAGACCACATCTAACGGGCCTGCAGGTCAACTGCTTCTGTAAAATGTGACTACGTTCTGTTGTTCGGCGTCCATAACCTATGTATAGTTTATCCACAGTGAAACTAGCCTGCGTGAAGTACCTGATAAGCAGCAGAGTGAGGGTGAAGGTTTCAAACATTTTCACCTCACAGGTGCAACTCCGTAGTCCCTCACTGTCTTCAACACAACTTTCCAGAGAATTTTTCTCTTCTAGGTAGAGCTTAAAAAAGACCAACGCCTTGTACTGGCATATAAGAATATAAATCAGAAGTTGTCCAATATAAACATTTCCTTTCGTCACGGAAATCGTTTGGAATTATTGCAGTATTTATTCTTTATGAACATTTAGATTTTCCTTCCACCGGTGACCACGTCTTCATAAAACAGATTCCCTCGTTCGTTTTGTTCCAGCTCTATCGATTCGAACAAGGCTTTGAAGTTACCGGCACCAAATCCCTGGAAAATTGAAATTTAAAGACGAACTACTCAGTCGCCTCCGAGGACGGTCCTTGCCGTGGGCAAAGCGAATGGGTCCGCGGATGCAGTAGGGCGCCGTTTTCTCTATTCAAAAGTGCACGAGGCTGTGCTTTGGTGGCACCTGAATGCAGTGTCCGTACTCCGCCCACGCTGTCTTCGACGTGCAGCGCTTGCGTAGATGCCAAGGTCCCGCAGCGTAACACGTACTCACTGTAGTGAACAATCAGAGATAGAGGGTGCAGACAAGTAGCGCGTTTGGCTATGGTTAAAGGCAGTTGGCACGATGGTTTCCTACTTAGCCTAAAATGCTAGTAGGGCGCTGTATAGTGGGGAAATGGCGAAAGAACGGAGTGAAACGGTCAAAATCCTGCGAAGAAAAAGCCTCCGTTCTCAGTGACTTGTAAATCGATTTCGGACGAGTTTCCCGTAGGCATGCATCTTGCCAATCACCGCTACCAAAGATACGGCTGCATATGTGTACCCATGTATGCATGCAGCATCACGGCCGCTTCATACCAATCCCTTCGCTTCATAATTTGCTTAGCAAATGAATGAATACGAGCGTCAGGAACGGTCGTCCATTTGTGGGCGGGCGGGCGTTTGGGACGTAATGTTGTGGCTTGATAGGGCCCTTATAAGGGCACCTTCCTCGGGGAAACCGCTATGCAGCGCCTGCCCAGGGTCGCGGAATTCTATCCTGCCAGGAGTATTGATCCTAGTCGCCTTGGGGATTTATCGTGCCAACTGCCTTTAAGCGTGTGACTAGCTGTGCGGCAGCGCAGGCGGAGTATGGATATGGATACGCTCGGGAAATCACTATCTTCCAGTTTCGTTCCCGTGCACATCTTACGTGAGAAGAAGGCACGTTACTGCAGCTAGAGTCCTATCTACCCCACACATAGCAAAAACCTGGTCCGAAAGGTGAGTGCACAACGCCTCTTCAATAGCAAACGAAAAAAATTAAGTGAATCTTCAGTAAAGCCCTGTACCTGATGGTTATGCCGTTGAATGATTTCAATGAAGAGTGTCGGCCTGTCCTCGCATGGCTTGGTAAATATTTGTAAAAGGTACCCGTTCTCGTCAAAATCGACAAGAATGTGCAGTTTTTGCAAACGGTCCATGTCCTCAGCCACCTGGAATGTCTCGCATTAACCAACGGCTGATACCCCGTTACAAAGCTTCCCAATTAAACTGACTTTGGTCTTGCTGTCATTGAGACGACGTCTCAAATTCTCGTAGTAGGATTTGGGGATGGTAAGAAATTCGACTCCTCGAGC